TACTTCCTGTGGTTTGTGCAGTTAACCCTATAAAGTTTCCATCTTACAGATAGATATATCCATTTATATATCTATAGTCACATGTTCTGATGTAATGAGCCCCAGTGCAACTTTCCAAAATGAATTAACAGGATGTATCTTGATTTCTGTGTCCTTTAAGATCAGCTCGCTCTTTGGCAAAGACAGATCACTGAATCACCGATCTGAGGAAGTGATTAGCGTGAAGTCTGCACTCATACATACGCTGTCACATAATAAAAGAGCTCTGAGAGTGCTTCAGGGAGAGGTTGCCTTTGTGACACGAGTCTGAAAAATGACCATTAATTCTCTTCCTCTTTATCTGTCACCACTCTGTCTGCAGCCAAACGAACTCACGGCTCTGCTGCCTCGCAGCTCTATCGAGGCCTTTTTCCAGACTGGACAGGTGCTTATTAAAAAATAGAAGGAAAATTCCTTTAGCTGGTTAAAAAGAGGGGAAAATCTGGTCTTTTAGGAGAAATTAAAATGCTATATGTAAAGACAGCCAGGCTGAAGTCTTGTTGCTTTTCCCAGACTCATAAGTCAAAATCCAAAAGCCACATGCTGCTGGGCTCTGCTGTGCTTCCAGCTTGTTGTTTAACTGCTCTAATCAGCCAGCAGACATTCATTTGTTTCAAGATTGGGGAAAAAGTGTGCATTAATTACAGGACAGGATACTGTTGGAGACAGGTGTTTACAGTGCTTCGTACAGCAGCAGATTTTCTGTCTGATTATATTTAGATTGGCACCACAGTGTGTTTGTTTCATATGATCTCGTCTTTCACTTTTGAAACGCACACGATTCGATCAATCGCAGGCGAAATTTCATTTAGAAATTTCCCCGAGAAGCCTGTGAAAACGGACAGATTTGAGCCAAAAATGGTTCCTGTTCAGCAAAATCACAAGAGCGTGCGACGGAGCGGCGAGTTCATACGCCACTGTTGTTTTAATCAGAAGCAAGTGTTTCATTTGTGGAGCTTTCACACATTCCAGCGCTTATAAGTTGCAGGTTTACCTTCAAATTTTACTGACAGTTTTACAGCGAGTGTACGTATGTTGCTGTGAAATATGTCCCCCGTGGGCACCGCAGATGGGCTGGTGAGCTCCATTCTTCGTCACGCTCTTTAGGATCTCATCCGTACCTGGCCGTGTGGTCTCGTCGTCTCCCACACGTTCACAGGGCCCATTAGCAAATAACCTTATCAACCTGTTGTTCCCACCGAACGGGCCTCTTCACAAAACAGCAGGTGCAGAAACCCAAACGTAGAGAAGGTGTTGCTTTTTTCTCTCATGTGTCGAACTCGTGAGAAACCAGATAGAGTCTGAGATTAGAGTCTTCCTTTAGACCTGCTAGAGCCTGTTTGGTGTAACGCTGATGCTGTTAGTACAACGAGCTGACCACTGCATGCTGATTAATGTAATTCCAGGGAAATCGGAGAGGAAAGTAAAAGTTTGTTTTTCTGTCACATGTCAGCATGATCACTTTCCCCCCATTTTTTATTTTTTTATTTTTTAAAGTTATGAATTGAAAGTAAGTCTTTGTGTCCTCCCTCTGAAATCAATCACTTGGGTTTCTATGGGGTCACACTCTTGTCACAATTTCCGCCTGTCTAATTTCCCTCCTCCCACCTCGAGCAGATGACATAAATCAGGCCTGTGAGCAGCGTTTATTGTACTTGGTAACAGTAGTTATTCTCACGCTCTGCCACACAGCCAGGGCTCCTGACCAATAAATGTCAGCGGTTGGCTTTCTCCAGGTTTAGTGAAGGTATGGTGTGTGGAGGTATTTGTCACCTCAGTGAAAAAGGTCTCATATTGAAGCGATCATCATTAGAGCTCTTTTAGCAGCAGCTCAGCTTTACACATTTACTTCAACCAGCTGGCTGCCGTCTCGAGTCAGGCTAAAGGTTGACAGGTACCGGAGTTGACACTGTGCTTAACGGGCCAACCATCTGCCTTCTTATACTTACTGACCCCTCTGACATTTCTATGCTAAGGTCAGAAATTTCTTATATTTTGTCCTAATAATTGATATTTTTCCACTGAGCTTTTCATGTGAGTTAAATGCTGGTATAAAAACCAAGCTTATTTACAGTGTATATTAGATTAATGCACCTTTTTAAATCGTTTCATTGAGAACTTTGCACTTTCTGACTAGCTTTGACCTGCACTTTCAAAGTATTTCTGTACCGTCGGTGCCGAGCGCCCGGTATTTCAGGAGCCACAGACGGCCCGATTTGATGGTGGGAAGTAATATATAACCATCCATATTGTAAAGGAGATCAAAGAAGCTGCGTTTTGCTGCTTTTTACTAGAGTTCACCTCACATGTTAGAGTTTTACGCTGTGTCCCCTTTCTCGTGCAACCAGAGGATCCATACTGTAAACAAGTCCATTTATGGATCTTTCATTTATGTCTTAGTCAGTGTTGGGCAAGTTACTTTGAAAAAGTAATTAATTATAGTTACTAGTCACTTCTTCAAAAAAGTAACTGAGTTACAAGATTCTAAAAGTAATTAACTATAGTGTTACTTTAAAAAAAAGTTTAACGCTCTGGGGTCCAGGGTGTAATCGGCCATTTTTAATCACTTTTGATGTTTCCTCCACATTTTACCTTTAAAAACGATTTACTTTGTCTTGTTTGGTCTCATCAGCACAACCTCACGTGTCTGAATTTACAGTCATGTTTTCATTTTGACACACTGTGTTAACACAATTGATCTAAAATTAGACAAAATTCAATAAGATGCCACAAATTATTTGTGCCACTCCAAAAACATAATTTCTGTCCACTATAAAGGAAACATCACAGCCTGATACCTGCAGCTCTGACAGCAGCAGGTGTGTCACTGCTGTTTCTACCTGGAGACAGCAGTTGCCTCATTGTTCTGACACACAACACAAAACTATCCACAACACTACACACTAACTACACAAGACAACACATTTACTACACACTCCAAACACGCTAAACGTCACAAATCTCTCACATCTCAAAACTCTCTCGCTCTCCCCCCCTTCCCTAAGTCTTCCCCCTCTTCCTAAACAACCAATTGTCATGTTGCCATATCATTTTTTGATTGGTTGACATGGTGCATTTTTCCACCAACACGCTCATAAGCAGAGAGGTCTCGCTGCGCTGTCCTTAGACAGCAAACGTGACGAAACTATTGAGGAAAAACATGTATATCTTGTTTATCATGACTCTGGTTTTACGTGGCCGATCAACACAGTTTATAAACTGGTATATGTCACCTTGTTGCTTTGTCATCTCGACTACTTTATTCTTCCTCAGTCAAACAGCAGCACTCGTGCGATTGTTTTGCCCCCTGAGCTCCAGGTGTTGTGACAAAAAGTGATCGTCAGGCAGAAAGTGATCGCCGTCCGTGGGAGCGCGCAGCTGCTTAAAGCTGATATAAACTGCGGTAACCTGAACGCAGCTTCAACCGACTGTTTGCTGAGAAATAGTAACGCGACCGCACCACATTTTCTTGTTAGCAACTGTAACGGCGTTGTAACAATAGAAACAGTAATTAGATTACTCGTTACTGAAAAACGTAACGCTGTCAGTAACGCCGTTATTCCCATCACAGGTCTTAGTCTGTGTATTTTCCAAATTCTATAAATTCTGCGTACTTTTTTTGACCCACGTTTGGGCGGGCACACTGGATTTCTCACTGCAACAGATTTTCCTGTGCAGGAATTGTCACTAATGTGTTGCATGCATGTTTGAGAGGCACCGCTGAGCGCCACGTCTCCGTCTTATAATTCGTCTGGTTTCATGCAAGTCACAAGCTGCCCATTAGTAGCGCCACAGAGGGGAACGTCCATTTGTTCATACGAGGAACTTGGCGAGAGCGCTCTTTTTGTAAGGCAAACCACGACAGCGCTCCGTCACGTGATAAAGCCACGTAGCTTCTGTGCATTAGCTGATGGTGACGGATCCTGAATGCCACTGACACGTTTACATGTTATTGTCCAGACTTTACCCAGTGCAGGAACACAGCTCTTTCATGGTACTGTACTCACAAATGGTCAGGCCAGTCTCAATAAGTCTTCTGTCTGATTTACAGGAAGTTGTCTGTGAGCAGAGGGGACTCGACTGTAGTGTCGAATAGTTATTTTTAGAGTAATTGTTTTGGGTTTTTATTCCATGTTGTGTAGTGAGAGACCAGTGGACAGAACGATGCATATTCACTGCTGTGTCTTTACTGTATATTGTCTTTCCATACCGTGGAACAGATTAGTGGGATGAAAGCACGAGACGATGGATGGACAGAGCAGATAGGACAGAAGTGGGCATTACATGAAAGCAGGAGTGGAAGACCGTGGAATCTGGGTTACAGTGTTTTCGTGTGATCTCTCACAGCAGAGCGATGGCCTGTGATCTCTCTTACGCTATCTGCCTTTCTTCCTAATCTGATGAAGTACCTGTATTTTCTGCTTTGCTCTGTCTGCACTATGCCCTCTCACCTCATACCCTCATGATGTCAGTTGGACAATCGTGGATATGAGTGGAAATATGGGATCAAAGCAATCCTGTTATCCACCTGATCGCACGTGCTTTGATAAGCTTTATTACTCCGAACTCTCACTTGTGCCCGCTGCACTTTGCAGACTTATTTAGATTCAAATTTCAGCAAGAGGGCAACAGTGTTTTTTCACACATGAGCGTTGTCCTGTCTACTTGCAATAACAGTGCATTTAAAAACAATCGTATGGGAGAATATTTAGAACTGTGCCATGTTGTTTCTGTTCGTACCGGATATACTAGTGAGGTGCAGGTCTTCTTCTGTTGGAATGCTTAATACAAAACGCACTGATAACAACAATCGGCTTAAAGTAGACAGGTGTCACCTCTGAATCTCACCCAGCTGTGGTGATGTGGCGCATGTTGGAAGCGTGCAGTAATTTTTCATAGGATTCGTTAATACGCTGACATTTAAAGGAAAAAAACTGATTTCTTTTGAACTCTTTAACAGTGGTGGTTTGTTAATGTCACAGTTAACAGCCCCTCACAGCTTAGGGGCTAAAGAGCCGCAGGTTGGTGACCTCTGGCCTGAGCAGACCCTACGATCAGCTTTGGAGCCATTGTCTTCATGTAATACTGTCACCAAGGGGCGGTGTCACAAACGACCGGTCTGTGGGTTATTGTTGCTTGTTCTGTTGGTTCTTTAGTCAGCTGCAAGGAGGGGAAACACCAAAGTAGGCAAAGAACTGAAGTCTGTCTTTCCCATTTCACTATTTGACTTATGCACAGCTTCATCTTTGTCTGCCTATGTGTTCCTGTTTTTATAGATGAGTTGCATAGGTCGTATACCCTCTCTGTAAGCAAACGGACACAGCATTAACACATTGACACAATAGCACCTATAAGCAGCACAGTCATTTTCTTCTAAACCTTTGCAGCC